TAGAGGATGTGACCATAGGCTATACAGCAATAGAGTCAGAGAGATACTGTGGATTCCAGAGTTAGTCACCTAGATTCACTAGATTTGCTAGGACAGACTCAGCCACCGAGATGTCCTCATGGCGGCGCAATGCCACCCACCGACCTTGTCAAGGCCTATTTTCGAGAGTCATTCGACGAGGGCTCGTGATAGACTTTGGGTGCCCTTACACCTATGGCTCGTCTCTTAGATGCTATTATGAGGAGGACCTTGCTACCGAGAGGTGGTTACCACGACGGTTTGACTCGCATTCAGCTTTGGCTAGTCCACCACCTGATCTCTTAGACATCGTTTGATATTTGGGACTTACTACTTTCAAAGATGGAGGACACTCTTGCAGAGGGATTCAAGGGCCACCATTAGCTACCATATGCCCATTGGATCAGCTTTCTTATACTCAAGTCTTGTTCACATATACCCCCTTAGGTATTGTCTGAGTTGACAAGCACTACTACTGAGTTCCCCGAGTATGACATGTGCCAGCTGATGGGTTCCAGTACTAGGAGTAGGACACCGATGCCGAGCCATCGCCAGAGGCCAGAGGTGCCAGAGACTACAGCAGAGCATGATGAGGCCATCAGGGCTATTGCCGAGATAGAGCTCGAGTAGCTTGAGGTACAGCAGGAGGATGTGGTCGAGAGCGACCTGACTGACAGCTCAGATGATGACTACCAGCCTATTCCACGGATGCCCCATGGGCTCATGACAACGAGGCCGGTGGCTCAAGCTTAGCTCCACCCCAGCCACCATAGACAGACCCTGCTCTAATAGCGATACTTGATAGGATGCAGCAGGAGTAGACTCACCAGGCATAGGCCATAGCTGCCGCTCTCACTTAGCTACAAACCCATCAGAATTAGTTCCAGCAGCAGCAGCAGGCCATGCAGCAGCAGTAGCTTATCATTCAGCAGCAGCTTCTTGGGCTCATGTAGCATGTCTTTTCTGCTACAAGGATTGCTCTTCGCCAGCCCACGTTGTAGCTCGGTCAGCCTACTACTACTACCCCAGTGACTCTAGCTATACAGCCCGGTGGGTTTCAGAGTTAGGGACAGCCGGCTGTATAGTTTGCCTCACCTACCGAGTAGGTGTCTCAATGGTTTGCTTCACCAGGGATAGAGTTGGCTCAGCACTTCACTCCTATAGTCATGGGCTTCACTCCTACTCAGTCCACGTCAGTGCTAGTGACCGGACACCCCTATCTCTAGGAGTCTGGGTGCTACTTTCAGTGAGCTCACAGGACAGCCTACACCGCCTGAGTTCAGAGCTCATGCTCCTACCACAGCCGCTCCTGTCATAGGGACTACTGAGACGATACCATCCTCTGTTGCTTCGTCCGAGCCGCCTCTGACAGTCACCCCCACCCTTGAGGTTTCAACGATAGTGGCAGTTGAGGCTACACTTCCTACAGTGACACCTTCTGAGCCATAGGGTTAGGCTACTACTTCAGCTTCTACTTCACAGCTAGCCGACCTAGTTACTGAGACCGCAGAGCAGACTCAGACCGCTTCACCTCCACTTCCAGTGACCGAGGGTCCGACCGCTCAGAGTTCTTGGTCCGAGGATGATGCAGCTTAGTTTCAGATCTCTCACCGTACCTCAGCGTCCAACTCGTCTGCTGCTACCCCGCCGTCTGATCCTTAGGTTTTGGTGCTTGACGCCAAAGGGGAGAGAGGAAGCGAGTATGTTAGATTTAGGGGGAGCGTGTAAGATGGACTCGTTCATTTGTGTGTGATACTTCATGCATTCACGTTTACTCTCATGCATTATGCTATATGTGATATGTGTGAGACGTATGTGACATGTGTGCTCTCTACCTTGATATATATGTCATGTCACTTGATTATACTCATTTGCTTTGCTTCCGCGTTTTACTCCGATACAAATGAGCTTTACTTTGTGTACTTATGCTTATTTCATACCTTGTAAGTATATTGTGTTGGCTTGGATCATATAAGCATGCCTAACCCTCCTTTGTTTCTATTGTCAATTGCTTATATGAAACAAGCATGTTGAAAACATCACTCATCTTTTATACATACTCGAGGTTGTGTTGTCATCAATCACCAAAAAGGGGGAGATTGAAAGCATTTAGGCCCTTAGTTGGATTTTGATGATTAATGCCGACACAAGATTACTGTAACTAACGTGTATTTTACAGAGGCAACTTGAGTTAGGTCATGGTAATAGTGATTGATTGGGCAATTATGGTTTTCATGCCCTTGTTGATGGAAATCGCTTTAGTTTTCAAATGATGAATGACAAGGTTAAGGACGGACTAGTTCTAAGTGTCATTTGGCATTGGAGAGACACTTATAGTAGTTTAGGACTTTGTTTCTTTTCCTTTGGATGTACTATTAAGGGGGGTATGAACTAGTAGCTTGACCTAGATGAGTCTAATGGTTTAGGTGTGGTGCACACTTGTCAAACTTAGCACTAGGTAGCTCAAGGATAGCCCATAGATCAGTTGAAGTCGATGTCGTTCACAAAGTTGGTAAAATTTGAGGTGAATGGAAACTTGGATGATGATCGGACGCTGGACCAGACACACAGGTGCCGCGTCCGGTCAGTGTTAGCTCGCGCAGCTAGGGTGTGTTCATCGACTGGACGCTGGATCGGACTCACAGATACCGCGTCCGGTCAGTATTAGCTCGTGTTGCTAGGGTTTGCTTTTCGACAGGACGCTGAGGACGTTGTGACCTGACGCACTAGAGGTAGCGTCCGGTCAACAACAGTAAGCATCTAGAGAAGGAAATTTTTGACCAGACGCGTCTGATGGTGGCGACCGGGTGTCGGTCTCTGATAACTGGGCTAGCGTCATGTAGCCGTTGGCCACTGACCGAACGTGTCTGATCACTTTGACCTGAGCGTCCGGTCACCCCGAAATGTGCTGAGTTGGACCCCAACGAGTATGTTTTAAAGTGGGGAGTATAAATACCTCTCCTACTCGTCCAACTTAGCACCATTACCCATATGTTCAGCTGAAAAACACCTTTGAAGTGCAAGGGAGGGCAAGAGCCTAGTTGGGTGATTGAGATTTAATAATCAAGATTAAGGACCTCATTAGTGCATAGGGAGTAGCAAGTGTGCATCCACCATTCTCATTAGGCTTGTCTTGGTCAAATGAGAGCTTGTGCTTGTTACTCTTGATGATCGCTATCACCTAGACGGCTTGATGGTGATTAGAAACTTGGTGATCATTCGGCGGAGCTTGTGGATGGCCCAAGTCATGGTGTGAGCGATTGTGGGCGATTCACCGCGATAGAGTGTCAAAGAATCACCCCGTAGAGAGCACTTGATCCTTGCGCGGATCAAGGGAGAGCTACATCCTTGCGCGGGTGCTCCAACGAGGACTAGTGGAGAGTGGCGACTCCGATACCTCGGAAAAACATCGACGCGTTCCTCTTCCTCTCTTTACTTTGGGTATTTACATTTGAGCAATTCAATTCATGTCTCTATATTCCTAAAATTGCCATGCTAGAGTAGAATTGGAACTTAGGGTGCAAAACTCTTGTACAATAGAATAATAGAAACACTTCTAGGTAAAAGGGGGTGAAATAGGCTAAGTGTAGGGTTTAATTATTGCAAGAAATTTAGAATTAGTCCAATTCACCCTCCCCTCTTGGGCATCTTGATCCTTTCAGCTTTCTTGGCCTGCAAGGAACCCGGCTTGCGGGCGGATGAGTAGGCCCTAGAGCCCTTCGCCCCTGGAGTTGGTAAAGTCCCTTGTCCTGTTGTGTCACGCCGGTTGCGTGACCATGCCAAGAGAGTGGCTGACAGGGTCTTGCGCTCAGACGACACGGCATCTCTATACCTGTGGGTTCCTGACCTATGGCTCGGGGCGTCGGTTGCTGCCTGGGTGCTGGCCCGGGTATGTGCTCGGTGGAGGCCAGGCTCAGGATGCCTGTCTAAGTATCTAACATAAATACAATGCTCAAGATTGGATTTGAACTAGCCAGTCTAGATTGTACCATTCGTATTCAGAAGATTTCGTTGATTTTACTATGATTGATGCCTCCACCGTAATTATAATGTTGAGAATGGAAATACAAAATAGTTTCTTTTATTATGCTTGTTTTTCTAGATGGTACCACGAGGTACATATTTCATTACGAGGAAGTAGAGTTGTTAAAGTACAAAGCTAGCAGAAATCCAAGGATTACCGCACCCAACACAAGGTCCGTAGAGCACACGCAACAAAAGAAGCAACCGACGTAAAGAGACACGTTCCTGCAGCGCAGACTCTTTAACAGAGCTACGACGTGCGCGGCCAAAGAGGCCAGGCACAGACCACACAACATAGATGATCTAACCAAGAGAAAAAAAAAACTACACTAGGCGATTTTATTTCCTTGCCAACTCTATGCCCTCAAATTCATCTTATGGCCATAAAAAGGCAACAGAAAGCCAAAGGCAAGCTAACATACTGATAACTGAATGCCTAAGTTATTTATCCAGTATATGTTACTGGATCAAATGATCATTATACTGGTTGTTTTCGCTCCCTCACCACCGCCACAGGATTGTCTGAAATGGCTAATGAAAGCACATATCTGTCATTTAGTAGCAATTGTTTGGCTCCACACAAGTTCGTGGCCTTGATCCAAAGAAAGCGAAAGATCTCAGTTCAGAAGCTTTAGCATAACTCCAGCACGATGCATGCAGCAAACACAATAAAATCTTCCCTTTTGTTAGCGTATTTTCAAACTAGGTTACTAAAAGAAGTCCAAAACTAGACTGCAGTGGCCACTGGCTGGAAGAGGGAAACTAAGAGGAGTTCCTTGCAGGCCCAACATGCAGCGAGTGGAGATGCATCCATTTGATCAAAGCAGAGCTCAATTCTCTGCTATCTTTATATTAGTCTTGCCACCATGATGCTGTGAGACTTGTTACTTCCGAGAGCAGTCTTTATGTTTGTTTTTCTTCCTGTTGGGTTTGCAAAAGTGCAGCCATTTCTTTGAGTGATGCCAGTTTCAGAGATTACAGCAATTCCTTCATCGTTGTCATATTCACTTGAGTTGGATCCACTGCTGAGGGATCTTTTTGAGAAGAAACTGAGCCTGAAGAGGAATGTGACTGCAATGGCTACCGAGCTCAAGGATGCCAGGAACAGGCTTGCTTCACAGGAACTGTTTCTGGCTCAGGAATTAGAAGCCAGAAAGGTATGTTTCATTCTGTGTAATTGGTCAGATTTTGGTGCTCTGTGTCACAATGGATTGGAAATTGTTGAAAGGTCGCTGAGCTAAAGGCGAAAATTTTGGAGGATGAGGTGAGCAAACTGCAGAAATGCCTAGAGGACAAAGATGAGCAGCTGCGTGCATCGCTATGTAGCACTGAGCAGGTGTTCTCCCCTTGCTCTCTCCACTTCCTTCTGCAACTACTCCTCCCAGGCTCCCAGTCACAAATAAATAATGTTTTGGTTTGGATGCAGATACAGTTATAGACTTAATCGCGTGTTTGGTTTGAGGAATTACTCCATCTTAGATGAGGTGGTGCATCATGGGTTCATTTCTTAAATTTGGTGAAATGACTTCATTCCTCATGCTAGTATACTGATTAGCTTGCGAGGAATAAGATGATGATGCACCAACCTATTCCATTCCACAAACCAAACAAAAAAAGATAAGAAATGAGTAGATGATAGACTAACTCATTCCTCAAACCAAACATCCGTATCTAAAATTTGGCCATCAACAGCATTTCACATATTGTGATTGAAATTTGTCAGAAATAGTAGTTTCATTATATTATAATTTCGCTCTACCTTTTAAATTATATTTGAGATTGGAGGGGACAGGGGAGTATTCTGCAAGACTTTCCCTTAAGATCGTGTTTCGGTTCTGTAGCTATGCCTTGCTCTTACCTTTTGCTCATTGCTAGTGATGAACTAACTTTGCTGTTTCATTTTTTTATGTTGAAATGGTACTGAAATTAGCTGTCTAGTGCCTACGATATCAAAATTGTGTTACTGTGTTATGCTTCTACACATCTTTATGAACATATGCTTGTTATTTCATTTGCTTCTCGAGCAGTTACACTTTAAGTAATCATTTTGTCATGTAGTTTTTACTTTTTAGCGCTTAGTAGATTAGCTTCAGATTAAATGACCATCTGCTATTCAGTGATCATGTAACGTTTACGTTTATATATATGACTTAATAGTTAATAATGGTGATGTACTGATCTCTTCATGTCAATACCCAGTATGAATCTATTTATGTTCCTAGTCATTTCTTCTCAGTTGCTATTCAAATCAGCGGACAGCTCCCATGATGAATAATTCTTCTCATCTACAGTTTCGCAATGAGTTGGATGGTCTCAGATCACAACTTTCAGTGATCCAAGCTACTGCAGAGTCCACTGCTGTGCCAGCCAAGACAACGCTGTTGCACTGCTCGTGTTTGTTAGGAAAGCTGAATGATAAGAACAGCTCAATCAACTTGACAAGTACCTCGAGAGCAGGGATCCCTCACTAAGACAATTCAAAGATCGTTACTCTTTGAGAACCGAGTCTAACATCACGGATGCCTTTGCCAAAGCTGGATTTGATAACGTGAACGAGATTCTGAAGATCCATTCTAATGTTCCATCAAAGAACAGCAAGAACATTGACTAGGATCTGATTTTTGAGGATGATGGTGTGGCCAAGCTGAGAAAGGGTATAAGGGTGCTATCTGCTCACTGGGAAAACAGAAGCAAGGAACTGGAATCACAGGTAGACCTTGAGTCATGAATGGTGCTTCAAAATGCCTCACTTGGTGTGAAATATCTTTGTAACATCTAAAATCTGTTGACAAATAGTTGCACAAGCATCGGAGGACAGCCCAGGAGATGAAGAGGAGGGTAATGAGACTTGAACTCGGCATCCAAGAACCACGGTCTCGGTTACCGAAACTTCAGAGGGTAATTTTTTTGTTTTTTCATATCAAAATAATGTTTTTTCCCGAAAACATCTAGCCAACAAAGGACGCAAGTGTTCTTGAAACATTTCCACCTTTCACTGAAACCCAATAGTGTATACTGCCAAGGTTCGAGTCAAACGGACAAGCTATGCACGGCCTGCAGGCTGCAGCAATGTTCACCGTTGAAACCTTCAAACATACATGTGCCATTTCTACAAGCCGTCAAATTTAGCACGTTCACTATCGCAGTGCAAGGTTAGCACTGTCATACTGTATTATAGAAGGGTCTTCCAACTGCATTTTTCTTTGTGCAGCTAAGAGAGAAAAGGGACAGAGCACTTACTCTTGATAAAGAAGTAAGAAATCAGACGGCCGTGGAGCAGCCCAGTTGTAATGGCTCAGGCGACAAGCACAATCTCTGGGAGAGCTCAGCCTTCAAGCTCATAGCATCCATGTCAATGTTGATCCTATTTACACTTGCAAAGCGATGAACTCTCACGGTCTCGTTTTTGCTTACAGAAAATCCAGACGTACATGTTTGAATCAGTAGGTAGCTCATTGTTCGGAAGAAAGATATGCCATTAGCTATGTAATTAATCACCAAATTTTGCTTCACGATCCAAACCAAATTTGTTGGCATCACGCCTATATCGGTGTGACTGTACTATGTTCAAGCCACACTATAGCCTTTGCCATTTGAGATGGGAAAATGTGTGTGTTGTAAAATTATGGTGATACTCGTCACAGGATAGCAATTTAAAATAGGCATTAATGGCTGCAAGCCAATTTTTACCGAGTCAAAATATCACCAAGGTTAAGATTCGGAATGCGATCGGTTTGGTACTGAATTTTTAGCAATGCCTTCCAAAATATTGGCAAGGCACCATCTCTCACTTGTTGGTAGCGAACCAAGTGCGGACCTTGATTTGATTGCTCTATATCAAAATATTGGCTTGCCCTAATATTGTTGTGCGCACATTTTAGTTTACTCCAAAATATTGGCCTTCAACCAAGCAGTCTCTAATACCCTCGCCTTACAAAAAGCCAGATCATGTATTAACCTTAAACTGTAACGAATCATTTTGAATCGGAGGCTACAATGAGGAATTTTACCTGGATCCTCAAATTGGATGCTGCTTGACCTCATGGATCTAACCGACACCAGATGGAATGCAACCGAACAATAGGTTACAGTTTATAGTCTATGGCACTCAGGATACAGAGACTAGTAGGTAACAACCAGAAACTGCAAGAGGTTATCTCCTGATGAACATCCAGGGTCAAGTGTATTAAGCCAAACACCATATTTATCTTAATTCAATGCTACATGATTTGTCTGATTCTGATACTCTCGTCAGGTAAAAGCAACGGCAGTCATTCATTCATCCTGCAACCAGAAGAATCAAATAAGGTACTTCTTGGGCAAAAATCTAATCACAAGCACTAATCTATATACAGCAGGTTCCCAGCTATTCCTCCACAAATGAACCTTGACACTCTGTATTCTGTGTCATAAATGGTGAATTGAAGATTGCGATCCAGTGTGTTCACCAGGGTTGTTGGATGCACGTGCATTCAGCAGGGGCTGGAGCGCCTTCACCACGATGCTCATGTTTGGTCGAAAGTCAGCTTCATATTGCACACAGAGTGCGGCAACAGCTGCAAACTATTTGAACAAAAGGAACAGGAAAATGTGATAAATAAGGGTTTCAAAACCATTAAGATACTCCCTCCATTCCAAACTGTAAGTCATTCCGGCATTTCTAGGTACATAATATTTGCTATGCATCTCAATATACACTATGTCTAGATATATAGCTTTTACTATGTATCTAAAAAAGCAGAACGACTTACAATTTGGAATGGTGGGAGTATTGAACATTTAACATCAACTGACGACAGACAACAGTAAATGAAAACATAAACTGAAACGGTATAAGTTACTGATAATGTGATATCAGGTTTGCATAATGTAAGTATAACAATGTTACTATTTATGATTTTATATGAAGCATGTAATCTCCTTTTGTTAGCCTCTGAGGAAGGAACACATCACTAAGAGAAAATCTAAAGGTTGCAACAACTAGAGCCTAAATAACTTATCATACCTTTGCAACAGATTTAGGAGGATATTCTCCTCCAAGTCTTGAATCAACGCATTGCCTAACTTTATCTTCACTAAGCCGTGGAGTTGCCTGCAGGCATTAAAATAGGCATTACTTTGATTCGTCAAGCAGCACAAAGCATAAATATGAGTATTTTAAAAAAGAAGGCAATATATTGCACAAATACAAGATAACCTCTAACTGTAGAACTATAAAACATATAATAGCTAATATAAATGTTTACCCATGTCACAAGGCTTTGCTGTCCTCTTGGTAATGTATGATCCACAGGCTTTCTTCCAGTCAGGAGCTCCAGAAGAACAACTCCAAAACTGTAGACGTCACTCTTAGAGCTAAGTTGTCCAGTCATTGCATACCTACACCAAAGTTTTCAACATTTAAGCAAAAAAATGGATACAGGTGTCAGTGAAACTGAAAAGAAAACTGCACATACTCAGGTGCATGATAGCCAAATGTTCCAAGAACCCTGGTCGAATGAAGTCGAGCTGCCATATCAGGAGCTTGGTTTGACAAATCAAAATCAGCTATTTTAGATACATCATCATCAAATAGAAGAACATTGCTGGACTTGATGTCCCTGTGTATAATATGAGGCTGCGCTTTCTCATGAAGATACTCGAGACCTTTTGCTGCTCCAACAGCAATCTTCACTCGTTGTATCCAGGACAAGACTGGACCAGGCTGAGCTCCTTTCACACCTTTGCGTCCTGTGGAGTTCAAATTCAAACTCATCAGCTATCCGGAAAGAAGCTAAAGAGAATAATATATTTCAAAGAACACTAGATTTTAGAAGTAAAAAGAGTAATACCATGAAGCATATCATGAAGAGAACCCATAGTAGCAAATTCATAAGCAAGGATGCGGGTGTTCCCATCAACACAGTAACCAAGCAACTCTACGACATTGTCATGCTTAAGCCTTGACACCATGGAGACCTGCAAGTGTAGACATATATTTTATAAGAAGAAAGACTAGCAAAGATGCACAATTCATTGATAAAATCAATGCACACCTGTGCCAAAAACTCTTGCTCTGGCTGCTTGCTTGAATCTAACTTTTTGATCGCAGCACTCCTACCATTTTCTAGTACACCAAAATATACTCTGCCAAAAGACCCCTCACCAATCAAAGCTTCATCGCCAAAAGCCTTTGTGACCTCCCTAATTTCTTCTACAGGAATAGTGGGGACAGCGATTGGCTGCACTTTCACAGGTTGAGCACCCCTGGGAGTTGGATCAGCAGTGCGATAAGCATCATCCCCTGAAGGTTGATAATAATTCAGGTAAATTTTACAGTCAGCTACTGCGATGATAGTTTGGTTATGAAGCTGATAATATGAATATGGATAATAGTTTTAGGAAATGCTAAGCTACATATATAATTTAGAGGAACATTACTTGCTGGGTAGCCACCAGGGTATGGACCTCCATTATCAGGTGTTCTTTGAGTATCTTCACCTCCACAGCATGCCAAGCACGACATGTTCAAACTTAGCCAAGACCTAAGAAATGAAGCACCTTTCTCTTATAAGCATTAAGCAGAAAAACTAAAAATGCCAAAAAAAAGGCTCCAAAATTGCAAGTAACTGAATAGGGGAAAATAGCGTGTCAAACAAGCAAAGCACTGCCTACTAACAGGATTTGTTCAAATTACAAATGATTGTTTCCCTATGGTAGACATGGTAAACGGGTACCTGACAGACATACTCAACTTCCTAAACATGACCATCACTCAAAAATTTGAATACCAAAATAAGATTGCAACAAAATGCAATAAGTAATGTATTCCTCTTGAATAAGTAACATCAACAAAGAATTTCCAAATAACACGACAACAAAGTTTCATGGACCTGTAGCTGATAAATGTTTAACAGTTTAGTATGAACTATCAAGAATCTGTAAAATCTGATTCCACTTTATCTAAAATTCCTTCCATTCTAGATATCTGGAAGCACTAGCAACAAAAGGGAGAAGACCTAAGAAATAATTTTAATGGCAAACAGGCACCAGAACCAAAAATAAACTACCAAAGACCACTTGCATTAAAATATAGAGAAGAACTGGAAAACGACTCTCTGCATTTTAAATAAAAGTAAGGACAAAATCAAAGATTCCAGACTAGACATGGAGTTAAGTAGTTAACCTTACACAAAGTCCAAGATGTCATTATTTTTATGCGTAATAAATCCTTGATCATTTGTCATGTGGGGCCACTCCTACTCTCTTGCAGTGATCGCGCACTATGGCGGTTATCTGCGTGCGTCCCTGGCGTGTTTCCTCCTGGAGTAGGAGTGGCCCCACATGACATCATTGAAGAATTTTGCAATGCCTTAAGTGCAAACATCCCATAAGGGCAGACCCAGTGCCGGAGGCTCCCACATGAGTGGGGTCTGGGGAAGGGAAAAACCGAGGCAAGCCTTCCCCCCACAAAATCTGCAGAGAGGCTGCTTCGAACCCGCGACCTGATGACTCGGTGAGACAGCTCTCACCACTGCACCAGGCCTGTCCCATAGTTAGAATTAAATATATCTACCACGTAACATTAATCCAATACCTTATGTTCTGAGTACTGAAGCTGAATGCAAAATAAGGCACTAGATGACGCTCATCACCTCTTGTCATCGCCATCGCATGATCCAAAGCATAAATGCAGCTATGGAATACTCCCTCCATAATCTTTTCTACGGCGCACGGAGGCGTCTTACAGATACCAAGGAACTCTAGGAGAGGGAGGTGGCAGGTAAATGATGTGCCGTACGCTACTCGCATGGCCACGTTGTTGCCGCAGATTAGTTCCGCATGTATCCATGCATGCATGCAGTACATCAGCAGAAACAATTCACATCCGGGACCCGGGTTGCATGCAAAGGAACGCTTTGATTTTAGATCGCCGAGTAATTGCCAAAGATTTTGGTTGGACACTGATTAGACTCCACGGTACCTATTCGACGACTTATAAAACGTCAAAAACATGAGATCTATCGGCGCCTACAAAAGATTATGGAGGGAGTAATTTACTAAATCAGACATCTAGAACCCACTATTTAAGGATACACAAAAATAACAATATACCTATTACAAAGTTACATAGAAAACATTAATTAAACAAGCAAGAGCCGCTATAAGCCATACCAAGCATTCAGTATTAGTTAGCTAATTTGCTACCATGTTTTTTCTCAGGATTTTCTTTAAAACAAAAAAATCCTCATACTAATTATAAGCAAAAAGGTTTCCGCACCAAAATGTAGGTTCAGTGCTGACAGGCCTGTGGCCTGGTGGAGCCAGTCGGGGTTTGAATCCCCATCCCGCACCCCTGGCCTCCTATGAAGGCTGCGCAATGGGGAAGCATCATTCTTAAAAAAAACATTATATATAAAATTGCTCACTCATGGCCTCATCCTCCATTGGACCTAGTAGAAATTCTGTATTGGTCACTCGTGAAATCTAATTCTATTTACTAGCGTGATAGGACAATGATGACCTTTGGGTTTGTTTCAGATTGCAGTATATGACAGAACAAACAGAAGGAAACAAAAACAAAGAACTGATTGATTAACAAAAAATACTTATATACCTACTTCGAACAAAGAATAGATATAAAAATTGTGGGCAAGGACAACTAAAATAAGCTTCACTTTCGAAGTATCCTTACTATCAAAGAACTAGCTCCGATAGAAAAAAAAATGAATCGGAAATAGGGACTAAGAATTAAGGTAGACCTTACTTCTTTGGACTTGAAGAAGAGGTACCTACCAGTAATCGCATCCCAGATCACAAGCAAATTGAAACAGAACTTTTGACTCAGGTCCAGACCTTTGGAAATAAGAACTAAATCATACACAAACCTTCCCCCAAGCCCGTACAGTACTCACATCCGTCGCAATCGACGCAGCCACGCAGGCTCTCCCTCCCCACTTGCTGCCGCCGTGGGGAAACCATGGCGCACCAAAGGACGCAACGGCGGTTGCGACGGACCGCAGCCCGCTGGGGCTTCATGCGGACGGGAGGCGTTCCCCGGCGCCCGAAACGACTTCGAGGAACTTCATGAAAGTACTGGAAGAGGGGAACGGGAGTACAGCAAAAAAAATCTCACCTTTTGTCTTCCCGGAAGGCGTTGGAAGGGGGCGGTGGCGCAGGGTAGCCACGGCGGCCGGCGCGGAGCAAGAAAATTCGCCGCAGAAGCGAGAGTAGGAGAGAAGGAAAAGCTGGTGTACTGGTTCGGAGTCTTCGGTGTTTCCTTGCGGTGGGCATAACATAGCTTCACCGTTTTCACACCGTTCACTGTTTCACATCGTGCGGCCATCCACTTGCTCTCGAGCTTGCGCCAGGGCCCCGGGGTGGAGTTCTTGGAATTCAGCCACTGCAACAAGTGGCCTTCGCTGAATTACCATTCTACAATGAGGATTTTATAACGGGGAAAACACGATCAATCCGCCAAAATACCATTTGATGAGTTTGGGACTCATAAACGAATTTCCTTCCTCATTTGCCCCTACCCTTTCCTTCTTTGCTTTCACGGGCTGCTCCTCACATGGACGGACAGAGGGGGATCCAGCGGGCGCGCTGCTTCTTGTCAATTTCTTCTACTGCATCTACACTAACCTCGGCTTCGCATCGAGCCTGGAGAAATTATACAATGTTAAAAATCTATTGGACAAGGTCACTGTATTGACTCAGCTCAATAAACAAGGGGAAAAACTATTTTTAGCGTCTGACTCTTGTTAAATTTTTTTTACTATATAACTCTAAATTTTTTTTTGACACAATATATAACTCTAAAGTTATCACTGTTTGATCACTGAACTATGAATACTGAAACGTTTTAGCCATCTAACTAATTTTAGAGATGATTTTTGTTTTCTAAAAAAACGGTTTATTTTCTAAAAATCCATAACTAATGCATTTATAAATTAGAAAAATATCAAACTTGTGCCATTTTTTCTAAAGGTATATTTGCAGTTAATGGTATTTTATTTTGTTCTCTTCCTAGAGTTCATTTATCATATTCATGCTCATTACTTATTTATAAATTATAAATTTCTACTGTATTAGATCCTCTATTAACCAAGAGAATCCATAGCATACTACACGTAAACATAATTAATATCTAGAAGACAACATAAACGGACTAAACTGACAGGTGCCATGCTCCAACACATATAAATCATATTTTGCCATTACAACTACTATGCATCATTATCCCTTCCAAAATAATTTGCTCAATTTAACTCTAACATATCTGGTACTAATATAATGTAGCACAAAATGATGGATTCCTTTGGATAATCTCTAGGTTTAATGTAGCACAAAATGATGAGTTAAACAAAAATTTGTCACGACCATGAGCAATAAAACACTATCAACAACTATAAAATATGATCCAAATCACTCAAGTTCTAGCATAAATAGAGTCACTATATTTTTAAAAAAAAAATAAGCACTATTTTGGTATTTTCTGATTTAAAATGAATTAGTTATGATTTTTTTAGAAAGTAAATCAATTTTTATTATTTTTAAAAATATAAAACCACCTTTGAAACCAGTTATATTGATGGCCAAATTTGATCAACATTAATAGTTTGGTGGTCTAAAGTTTTTTCTTTTAAAAGTTATGAAGCCAAAAATAAAGCTCAACCAATAATTGAAGAGCTAAAAATGAACTTTCTCTATAAATATAAATGGCTAAAAAATCCAACTAGGCTTGATTCGGGTTTTTTTTTTGCGAGACACAGTTACAGACGCAGACGCTCACACACGAACACACACTCACCTCTTATGAATGCACACACGCACACCCTACCTCTATAAGCACCTCCGAAGAACTGAACTGGATCTCCAAACCCGTGTCAAATCGGATATTTGAACCTAGGTGGGTAGATTTCATAACAAAGAACTTAACCAACTGAGCTCCACTCAGTTCGCACTTGGCTTGGTCGAAAAGCTTGAACTAGCTCGTTTCGGCTCGCAAGCTCAACGTACTTGACGACAATGGCGAGAAAACGGGAAGGAGCTTGGGGCTTGCGCTACAGGTTGCGTAGGTGTGATGCCATAGTTGTATGACAGCTCTGCCATTTGTGCCAACGACACCTCTAGGAATGAGAAGTCAGAGCTTGTTCGGCTGCAATTCTGCGACAATCGCAGCAAGTGTGGCTATTTGGTTTGTACAGTAATCGGTGAGTAGTGTATAACAAGCAACAGTAGCACTGGTGCAGAAAAGCACTTCCGAGCATTGTCTTAGGCAGCGGCGGAGCGTGGCATCAAACAAAACAAAGGAGAGGCTAGCTAATTTCATCCCTAGCAGCGCGGGTACAACAACTAACGGGCCTGCTCCTCCAAAAATCCTCACCTTCTCTAAAAAAACAGAAATCTCCATTTCTCACTCGCTTCACTTCATGGCTTCACCATGACTCCTCTTCACCACGCCGCCGCGCGCCGCGCAGCGCTCCCATCTCGCGTCGCGTCTACCGTTGAGCCACACTCTATCCCCCGCCGCGCACACTCCACCTCATTGTGCCCCGTTCCACACCATGCCATGCCCCGCCCCTCACCTCGTCGACGTGGTGCCGAGGTGCCGCCGACGCCGCCCTTCCCCACCAGATGGTCATGGCCGCTTCGACGCCGGCACCGCTGCAATGCTCGTCCACAGTTCGCGACATCAAAGATTCAGAGTGGCCAGACCATGCCAGACATAGGCGTAGCTGGCCACTACCATGTCGTGCCACCATCCTTGGCCGCCAGCTGGATGAAAAATGCATGTTGCAAATGTATGTTTCAAGTAATTCAGATGTTTTATTGGCATGTTACAAGTGTTTCGTATGGATATTGCAAAACTAGATTAGGTTGTTGCATATGTTGCAATAATTGTATGCGCATGTTGCAAGCGTCTGTCCTAAATGTTTCATCTGTTTTTTTTCAGACGTATGTTTGCAAGTGTGTTTATCTGGACGTTGTATGTGTTTTATTTGGATGCTGCATATATTTTGCAATGGCTTTTTGAAGCGTTTTTCAGGTGTTTTTACAAGTGTTTCAGACACGTTGCAAGTGTTTCCACTGTTTCGAACGTATGTTGCAAATATTTAATTTAGATGTTTCAAAAGTAGATCGGGTGTTGCATCTTCCTCCTCGCCTCGGTGTCTCATCTTCTCGATGCTGGTGATGTTCAGACGGCGTGGGCCCATGTCGGGGCGGGCGACGTGGGTAGGGCAAGTCGTTCGAGTACGCGCTAAACCCGAACGGACAGGACGTACGGCATGAAACAGACGCGGAACCTAGGGAGTTGCATCCAGAGACACAGGCCTAGGGCCCGGTGTCCAGGTGCTAGCCTGTCCCGAAATTGGCTTTGTTTGGTTGCCAGGGTGTCTACATGGGCCTGGCCGACTCGTGTAAAACGGTCTTGCGGTCTCGCTCTTAGAGTAACGAAATCAGGTTTTCGGCATGTTCATTTATTGGTTTCAGTCAGGACTTATCAGTCATTGTATAGTTTTTTCCTCTCATAATAAACCAGCGATCAGCTGGAGCTTATCAGCCCAGAAACCAACCAACGAACATGACGTTTGTTTCATATGAGCCTGGCTCACACGGTGCATCTCGTGTGCTCGGCGTTCTCTTGGCGCGTGCATGAGGCGAGC